GGGAGGTTGAAAGAATAATCGAAGGCCGAAAATAGGAACCAATCTTGCTTTAGGTAGAGGTAGGCCGGTTATACTGGGCAAGTGCAGTGCTCCTCGTCATCTTGAATGCTGTTAAGATGTGATCTACATCAGTTATGGTGTTTGATTGTTGGCTAAGGCGTGCCATTCGAGAGAGGAGGCCTGTAAGAAATGCATATAGTATCGTGAGTGAGCTTACCTCTGTGGAATTCAGTGTAGTTACAAGTTATATTTGATCATTGATATCGAGGACTAGCCAGAATAAAAATAACCAAAATAGTTAATGATATGCTGGAGGTTGAGGGGCTTGCTTTGTCCTATGACTTTGAGCATCGCATCGACCGCGACTTATTTCGTTGACACTGATTAAGCAGGATAAACGACCTAAATCAAATGAACCCTTCAATTGGATCCAAAAAAAGGCTTCTCTCACTCCGCAAGAGTTCCACAAGTGTGCCAAAGTGTACATAGTGTAGACTTGCGCTCGCTTTCATCCGCCCCTCTCTCGTGAATGGTCCTCAATACTCTCGTACTCATATCCATTACTATTCTCTCCTATACGCTCCTTATATGGTAAATGCTTGGGAGTGGGCACACTTGTCGGACATTGGGATCAGTCAAATCTTTCAAGGACTTAATTTCACAGATAAAATTGATTGTACGTTGAATGAGAGCCATAATTCAATTAATTACTTGAGCTACATTCACTACTAAGCGTCAAGTGCTCAGACAGAGCAGGGCTAAGTGCCGATGAGTTGCACATACCGGAACATTTCAGCGAAGGACGTATAGAACAGTGAATCGAATCGTATTCCAGCATGGTTGGTCAAGATTTGACACATGTCTCTCGAAGTGGCTTTCAATCCCGAAGCGGAGCTTGAAACACGAAAGGGGCCACGCTCGCTCACATTAAAAAAAAAACACAGAATATGACGAAGTACTTCATAATACACGATATCCAGCCGTTTTTTATGAAGTTTTCAGTTCCAACTGACATTTCAAGCATGCAGGTAAGGGTAGGGAGGGTAGGAAGAATGTGTTCAATAGCTTGCTGAGATTATGTCGTAGTCTTCTGCCTCGTATATGTTCGCCTTGTAAGTAAATTCTAGAGGAAGGGTGGTCAAGACATGATGGGCGATCATAACCCAGGGGGAAACCCAGCCTAAGATAGACAGATAATTGTACATTAGGTGAGCAGCACAAGTAATAGCTTAAGTTCGTCATTCCAATCCTAATTATAGTGAACTGTATATGGGTGACAGTACGTTTATGGTATGTGCGAGGTGGCGGGTGGTTCGTGGCTGAAAGCCGTCCTTTCGCCTCATTGAACTCTCCACCGCATTGCCACTAATACCCAATTCAATAATTTCTCAGCAGCTTTATATCTAGCGTACTTGACCAGTTAGAGATCGTAGGCGTTTATTTTCCAGTATGTATAAGAACCAGCGACAAAGCAGCTTTTTAATGAAGAACTTGACCAGATAAAAGTATACAATGGTTTCTTGGATTGGCATCCTCTTCGGGCATCCACCCGAGTTGAATTGAATCAAATCGCCTGACCTCTTCTCAAGACTAGGATCCTATCGCCGCACCAGGATCGCTATATTAGCCAACATCTGGGGATCTCCTTCACAGTGAATAGCTGACTCGAAAGTAGTGTTACCGCCGATGGGGTGCAAGTGCACACCTTCTCACATTTACCCTCCCAATCATTACTACGGTTATGGAGTCTAATTATTAGATAGGATATATAGATAGCTTGATTATAGAGCCTACGTCTTATAAAACAGGCATTGTCAGACTCTCAAGAGTGAATACTGAGTTTGGGCGGAGTTGGCATTACATAGGCCCGACGCGGCACTTCCGGCCTCTAACATAAGACATCGCATTCCATAATAGCTTCTTGAGGTCAATGAAAGTTTAATTATGAACAGAGGTCAATAGTAACAAGCATTATGTGTTATATTGACCCTGGCAGAAGCACATAGTCGGCGTATGCCGGTCCTGCATCTGCCCTCCATAACCCCCATTTTCGAACAGGTCACTTGATACTCATCCTGCCTCATGGGTAGCAGCAGGCTCCATGCTCGCACAGAGAGACGGGACAGCAATCAAACGTATATAAGGTGTCCTCGAGAGATTCCTTCACGCAGCCCACATCTCTCGAAGACGTGTCCTATTTCGTGTATACGCAAACAATTAATCCCGAAGAAACAATGGAAAACTCGAATTCGACAACGCCCTCGCACAATAATGAAGGATTGTCCCTTCCTACCCCTCCAACCTCTCCGCCCCCTCCGTATAGTAACCCAGGATCATCGATGGAGTTAGGTAATGAGTTGTATTGGAAATTTATCCTCCTCTCTCTAACAATGTCCCTAGGACACGCGCGTGGGGTTGTGGCTACGATGGGGAAGGTGGACTGCAAGGATGTTTCCGTAGAAGTGCATGGACTCCAAGTGACCGCTGTGGAAGTGGTGGAAGAACATGCAGAGATGAGCTTCAAGGACGGACAACTGGTGGCGTTTGCAGAGGATAATCATAGAGCAGGATCAGAAGGTGGAACCTCCTATCTTCTCCGAGAACAAGGTAGCTCACTCATATACGATGCTACTCTATCACTTGTTGATCTTGCCTATAGGCCATGCTCGTGGTATCATTGTTCGAAAAGGAACTTTGAAAATGGAAGGAACCAAAGTTTATGCCAAAGGAAGAAGTGTGACGGGCGCGGACGCCTTTAGCAAGAATGCTGACATGACTTTGAAAAGAATTGAGATAAAAGGTATTGCTGTAGTTGATTCGAGCTTGAGTGCCCCATGGGTGAGCAAGGAGGTCCGTGAGTAGGGACCAAAGACTTAATTGGCGAAAAGGATAGTATGACATTTTGTAACTGGTTAGCTGAAAAGAAGAGGACGCGTTTGACTCATTTGTGTCCGATGACCTTGGAAGCAACCAGTCGAGCCTCTACGGCAAGAGCACGAGCCTCAGTCATGCGAGCACTCCACGTGTTGAAAAGTCTAAGTACCCATGGTATTTCTGCATTGAGAGAGAGTCAAAGTCCAATAGAGCAGCTCTTGTATGTCGTCATTTAAGACTCTTTCCCCTTGGACAAGAATAAGTCTGCGGTACAGATCCCCGGAAATCAGGTCCTTTGGAGCCCTTGCAGCACAATAGATAAGGTGTAGGATGTATTATGAAGGGGGCCTAAAACGGACCACAATACCATGATTGGATTTATTCTGATGCGCTGGTACCGTCTCTCCGACCCGTGACCCTAGCAAGTAGAACTTGCCATTTTATGGACCAGATACACAGTTCATGAATACTGTTTGCAGGTTAGGTTATGGGAGTTGGTATGTCCGTACGATGAGTGCAGCCTGGCCAGCATCCAGCTTGTCAACTACTACCCAATGAACTAAATAAGTCGATCAGCCTATAAAGAATGAAGACACCCTCACTAACTGTAAGTCGAGAGGTTTCCAACATTCTAAGTGTCTCTCCACGGTAAATAACCATTTATTCCGTATCATCCAGGGCCCAGTGTGCCCGATCGATACGTGGGCATGCGACAGAAAAGAACAGGTATTCATAGCTGGTAGAAGAATCGATGAACGCTTAATGCGCGAATTCCCGTACTAGTATGAGATGTCCCACTCCTCTTCTAAGTAGATAGCCAGAGGAGCACATGGCATTTGAACGCACCACTGACCAATGGTACAAAGCAAAGCTGTTCTAATACAGTTAGAGAATTGAACGTGCGTGTTTTCAGCTCTCGAAATAGTCGATTCCGTCATGCAGGTTTGCACGCACCGAATAATGTTAGCCCGATGGGGATATCGATGGTATCAACTTATACCCACAAATAACATAACCTAATCCATCTGTCCAATCGGCTATCACGCTTAACCCGTCAACCTCCTGAGCGCCCAGACCCGCCTTCTCGAGCTTGAGCTCTTATCGGAGGTCTAAACATTCGTTCAAAGTCAATCCCCTTACTTATCTTCCTGGGGACACTCTCGAAACCCCAACAGAGCGCGATCGGCAGTACACACTTCGGGACCTACTTTCATAGGCAAATGGAAGTAGGAGAGTTCCATTTGACCTAATTACTTGATATAAATGGTACAGTAAGTCCATTACCTTGGGCAGGAGTCGGTGTTGGCCAAATTGTAGTTTTCTTCCGAAATCGGATGCACAGATTAATCCAGACCCTTAGTAATCAAATCAAGGGCTTTCCGCCGAGTATAGTTTGCCCTGAGCCCAGCCCTTGGCCCAATGACAGTGCCGCGAACCAGCTCTCAACCGGACGATGTCGGCCACT